GGGGGGGGGAGGAGGTGGGGGGGGGGGGGAGTTGCTAAAATGGCCCCAGGAAGACTTTCAGGCAGAGAGGTGGGAGGGGATGTTCTGAGTAGGGATGTGAATGTTTAACTGGTTATCCGGTTAACCGGCCAGCCTCACCCTTAATGGTGGGGGGAGGTTAAGGTTCACTGGTGGTGGCTGGAGCAATATGTTTAACCGGTTTACCAATTAAACAGGATTTTACATCCCTAGTTCTGAGTGACGTTACGGGCCTTGGCAGCCTACGGGAGGACCGAGTCAAGGAGGAAGATCGTGGAAAGGCAGTTGTGCTTGAGGATGCTCTTGGCCTTAGGAGACATTTAACTGCAGGACCTGGTTAAAGGTGGTCCCCACTGAAAGTCCCCACACTCCATGCTCCAAACCCTGCCTTCCCTGTCCAGTGGCTGCCCTCGGGACAGGGACAGTTTTACAGGCCTCTGTCCAGTGGGATGTAAGAGCATTACAGGAATCTCCCAGCTGATTCTCTTCCTTCCTTTCTGCAGAGTTCAAGGAGGCCTTCATGCTGTTTGACAGGACCCCGACCGGGGAGATGAAGATCACCTACAGTCAGTGTGGTGATGTCCTGCGAGCGCTTGGGCAGAACCCAACCAATGCTGAAGTTCTGAAGGTGCTGGGCAAGCCCAAACCAGAAGGTAAGAGAAGCCAGGCCAAGGGGCAGAGACGCGAGGTTCATTTGTTAATAGCTGCAAGGAAAGGACTAGGGATATGAAGGGGTAGTCGAGTAGTCGACTACTAGATAAGCAGGAGCTTATTGGGTAGCACTATCGACTACTCCAGGGGTGGCCAACCCATTAAACAAAGAAAGACGAAACAGCAGTGGAAAAAATGCGAAGAGCCGCATCAGAGTTCTTGAGCAAAAAAAAAAAAAAAAAAAAAGAGAGACTGCCCCTTTAAACCACAAAGACATCTGGGAGCCAGGGGCCGTTTGTAGGGGTTAAAGGGGGGGAAGGCTTCACGAGCCGCACTTTCAGGGGTGAAGAGCCATGGGTTGGCCATCCGTGGACTACTCTATCACCTCCCTCTCCTGGCACCACTCTGCATTCTTATAGGGACAGAGAGGAGCCAGAGTGCATGCTGGTTCAGTCTCCGGTCCCCCACTGGGTCTCAGGACAGCTCTCACGCTGCCACACTGCATTTTTAAAGGGACAGAGCAGCCGCACTTCCCCGTTGCCACTCTGCACGCTTAAAGGGACAGAGAGGAGCTGGCGTGCAAAGACTCCGACACACTGCCGGCTCTCACTGCTGGCTCCCCGTCCCTAATAATTCAGAGTGGCGTGGAGGGGAGGCTTGTGCTGACAGTGACCTGAGGGACTAGCTGCCGCTGTTCTGTCCCTTTCAGAATACAAAGTGGCAGCATGGGGGCTGTCCTGAGACCCCGCAGGGCACCAGAGACTGAAGCGGCATTTTTGCACGCCTGCTTCTCTCTATCCCTTTAAGAATGCAGAGGGGTAGCCAGGAGTTGTGCTGAGACCCAGCGTGAGCCAGAAGTGAGCACTTTAAGTGCCCTTCCTTAACGACTAGTCGAGTAGTCAATGGAAATTCCATCCTCTACTCAATAAGTAAATTAATTGCTATTTCACGTTCCCAGATAGGACTTTGTTTCTTGCAGGAGTTAAACCACCAGCTTCATTCCCATCTAGTGGCTGTGCAGAGACCCATGTGAAATGAACTGATCTATCTATCTATCTATCTATCTATCTATCTATCTATCTATCTATCTATACTTAAACACAAGTCCCACTCTTGGTTTAGGCATTGATACCTCATCCATGCCAGAGCTGAGTGAATAATTCACAACTTAGTTAACTAACTTCACTTCTTCCACCAGCAAAACCTCCAGGAGCAAATGTTAATTGTTCTCTATGTTATTTTTACTGGATGGCATTTTCTTGCAAACGTCATTGGCTCCCTGCCGTGTCGCTCGTAATTCCAGCCACGTTGCCATTGTGTAAGTCATCTGGCGCTGTTCAGTGCATGGATTGTACAAAAGTCACCTTTATCATCAGGTTTCTGGTGCAAATGCTCCTGGAGAGCAAATTTAAAAGGAGCTTTTCACAAGCGTTTCTGCACAGGAGTTTGTAGCACCTCCAAGGTCTAGTCAAGAGTCTTGTTGAGCATCCATGCTATGAAACCTGATTGCACAAATATGTGTAGAAAGCCAACACAAAAGGGGCAGAAACACAACAGAAGGATTTTTTGGACTGAAAGAAACTGGCCAGAGTCAACCCAAACGAGTGAATTGTGTTGGTCAACCATTTTTTGGCAGAAAAGATTAATTGCTATTTCACATCCCTAGATAGGACTTTGTTTCTTGTAGGAGTTAAACCACCAGCTTCATTCCCATCTAGTGGCTGTGGGTTTTTTTCTCACAAAAAAAAAGCGCCCATATCTACCTTTATGGGCCGTTCCTGCAGGCTGGAGGTGGAGGGCAGCAGGGTGAGGAAGCTTGTGCTGAACTGTTTTGTAGGCAGCTTGTTGATTTCGGTCACTTGGGCCTTCTGTCTGACTGATACTTGTCACCCGCACGCAGTTCACGCTGTAGAGGCAGTGACAAGGAGAAGTAGGGAAGGAAAGAGGATCAAAGGCAGGAGCATGGGGCAGAGCGGAGGTGGGTTTCTATTCACAATCTCTCCTAGATTGTTGCTATGAGACGACCATCCCTGGTCCTGTGCCCGGCCACTGTGCTGATCTCTGGCTCACTGTGGTTCTTGGACTCTGCCCACCAAAGGCAGCTTATGGTGCAAGCTTGATTCGGCCGCCCTACGGCTGTCAGGACAGCCACAGCGCTGTGCTCCTAAGCCCCTGGAACTTGACGCCTCTTTCCATTGTCATCTCCTCTTTAGAGCAGAATATACTTTAGGGCAGGAGAAGAGGGAAGGGAGAGCCAGAGTTTCCTCCTTGGAGATGAGGCAGGATGGCCAAGAGGTTTTCAGGCAGGTCTCAGGGAGCATGCCAGGCTTCAGCCTCACTGCTGAAGTTGGGGGAATGGGTTACAGGGCGCCCCCACTATATATCTGTTCCACCCTACGGTCATTGACGCTTGTAGGAACTGATGTGATATAAGTCCTCCCATTCCCTGCTTTTAAGTTGCACAACCGTGCCCCACCCCATTTGCACAAATGGTAGTCAGCCCTGGGGGAAGAGTTCTCTGCTTTAATTTTTTTTGCTAGACATCCAAGTTTTTTTAAATGTATCTTGGACTTATAATGAGGACAGCCGGTATAGACAATCTTCCCTCCAATCTTATCCATCGATGTGTGGATTGTTTCCATTTGTGTGAAGAATAAATTTTGTCGTGTGCACCAAGACATGTGTGAATGTGCACCACCTGTAGAAAAAAAACTAGCCATAGGTGCTCTGCTAATCAGCTGGGCAGTATTGGAATTTCTCCTGAGTGGCCGCAGGGAAAACTGGTTATACATCTTCCTCGGGAGCATGGACAAGCAGGGCCGGCACAGAGAAGGCTCAAAGCCAGATGCAGAATCTTCCATCGCTCACTTAGTTGCCATTCATGAGTCACTAAGAGCCACTGGCTCAGTATGCCCAGGAGACCCCTTATCTTGCTAACCAGACTCAGGGTGCATCACACTGTCAGTGCTCTGCTTCTTGGCCCGCCGTCTCCCTCCCGCGCTGTTTGCAGGCGAGCTGACTGCAGCTAGAATAGAACCTCCCCCCTTCTGTTCCTTTATCCGCCTGCCAATGTCTTTTGGAGGGCTTTAGTGGACAGAGCCTCTCTGATCCCTCCTGGAGGCTTGCAGGGGCGATGTAGCCAATAACATAACAGGAGATGGCCCCATGGAGAGAAGAACTAGTGGGGCTAATTCCTGCTCTGTCAGTTTCATAGTTTAAAGAAAATGACTCAGAGACGCTTCATGCCTGAATAATTCCTCCCCTCCTCCTTACCAAATATCACCCTTGATCCGGCTCAGAGGGCACACTACCCACACGGTATGATTCATCCCTGACTGAGCTGTTCTTGGGCCAGATCCTAAGGAGGCGTAAATCGGTGAAGCTTTGTTGACTTCTATGGGACGGGACCCCTTGATTTTACTTTTTGCTTAATAACGACCTTCTAGTTGGGAAACTCTCTGGGTGCCTGGACAACACCCGTAACCAGTTAACAAAGGAATAGGGGGACCCTGTCAATCAAAAGAATTCCCCCACCCCTGTATGCAGCCTTTCCCCCAAGGGGCAAGCAGAAGCAATGAGACTTATCCAACGCCCTGAGGGAGAAAACACGGATTCTGACGGGCGCCAAGTGAAGCGAATTCCTGTGCTCTCCACTCAGAACATTCTGCCCCCACTGCCTTAACTATAAATCCCCGGGCTGTTAAAAAAGGCCGCTCATCTGATCTCCGCTGTGACCAAGCTCAAGCATCCAAAAGAACATGAGTCAGACCCCCAAAGTGCATGACATTTTAAATAAGAAATAAAGAGCATGGGCTGTGATTTGTATTTGCCTTCTACTTTCGGAGCCCTTCGACTGCACAAGATTCGCGTTTTCCAGCTAGTCTCCACCGTGCTGAGGACTAAAAACACACTTCTTGTTTCAATGAACATTGAGCTTCCCATCCAGTCCCCTGATTCTGGAAGCCGGGGCTTTTGTAAAGCCCACGTAAAATAGCGAGAGTTGGCAACACTACATCAAAGCCACTGAGATGAGTACTGCTGCTTTTTTTTTAAGCCCGGCCATGATCCAAGAAGTAACTGCATAACAATGGCCCCATTGGACTTAGCAGATCTATACACTGTGTTTTGAGTCCGTTCTGGCTGGACTGGCCCAGACACAGTTATTCCTGTTAGCCCTGCAGAGTCAGAGCAGCGAGCTGGGTCCTGCATCTCCACTCTCTTGATTCAGTAGCCTTTTATACCCACTTTGCCTGGTGTAAATGGCTGCACATGAGGGTAGGGCAAAGGGAAACCAGCTGCTGGTTCTACTCTGCCTCCCATCTACTTGCGCTGGGTAGGCACAGAGCCAACGTGTTAGCAGATGCTGGACTTTTGGGAAGAAGAGTTAAAGCCCAAGTCCTGCCCATCTGGGCCCATTAAAGCGTCCCTGGTGATTCCCCCAAGAGTAGACTCTAAGCCTAGTTTCCCAACCATATGCTAGTGTGTTTAATTACCAACCTACTTCCATCAATGTGCTTTCTGAATCCAAAAGCTTTTGTCAATGGGACTAAAGAGTTTCATCTAGAGGCTCTGGTTTCTGCATGGAGGAGACTGTCTGTCTCAGAGAGCATGAGGGAACATGCTGCACATTTTGTTTTTTCACACTTCCTATTGGCTGAGAAGAGAAAGAATCAGCCCAGTAGGGCAGGTTCCCTTCCTTCAGCAAGTACAGCGAGGGTGGGGGTGAGAGAGGGAGGGATGCATAAGAGGAAAAGAATGAAGATGTAGGTGAATGAAATGCCATCCCGAGCCCCAGTGTAGTCGCATGCAAAGTGTGAATGGGACAAGCTGAAGCTCAGAGTCCATGGCTGGAAGGGTGCTAATGGAAGTGGTATCGCCCATCTACTTGCGCTGGGTAGGCACAGAGCCAACGTGTTAGCAGATGCTGGACTTTTGGGAAGAAGAGTTAAAGCCCAAGTCCTGCCCATCTGGGCCCATTAAAGCGTCCCTGGTGATTCCCCCAAGAGTAGACTCTAAGCCTAGTTTCCCAACCATATGCTAGTGTGTTTAATTACCAACCTACTTCCATCAATGTGCTTTCAGTCTGGACATGGTGCTCTTCTCCACTTCCTTCCCACATACATGGTTAAAGGGCTGCCTGGTTCTACCTCAGAGGTGGCTGCCTTTGAGTGATGGGCAAAGTGACTGGGAGGGGGCGTGTGTGTGAGAGAGGCTATGTCTACACTGCGGGGAGGGGGTTTCGGAAAAAGATACGCAAATTGCGGTTTGCAGTTTGCATACCTTTTTCCGCTTGTTTTTTCAGAAGAGGCTTTTCCGATATTTGGTCCATCTACATGGGGCCAAATGTCGGAAAAAACCTCCTCTTTCGGAAGACCCCTTATTCCTTATAAAATGAGGAAACTTCCGAAAAAGCGGACGCATTCCCTGGATGCAGCAGAGTTTTTCCGGGATATCTCTGGTATCCCGGAAAAACTCTGCGGTCTAGACATAACCAGAGAGAAGGAGGGAGGGAGGGAGAGAGGAAGGGAGCTGGTAAAGTGCTTTGGTATAAAAGATGCCAGAGACTATTTAAGCAATGCTGTCTCTCTGTCTTCTCCATCAGAAATGAACACAAAAATGCTGGACTTTGAGACCTTCCTCCCAATCCTGCAGCACATCTCCCGCTCCAAGGACCAGGGCACTTTTGAGGACTTTGTGGAAGGCCTGCGTGTCTTTGACAAGGAAGGGAATGGCACGGTCATGGGTGCAGAACTCCGCCATGTGCTCGCCACGCTGGGTATGGGCTGGGGACAAAGCCTAGACATGGCCGACCCGTAATGGTGCAGCGTGGGGTGGCAGAAACCCTCTCTGTTGCAGGTCGGGGGTGAAGTCTTGTGTGTGGGACTTAACTCTGGTGTAATGAATTGGGGAGACCTTTTTATCCGCGGCAGACACAGATAAATCCTCCTCTCCCAGATACTGACTCTAGCCCCAATTTAATGTTCATGTGGACAGTGCAGGACTGGCCTTAGGGGGAGTGTGGCTCCAGGATAAGAGAGCATTTCACATCCTGTTCACTAGCTCAGATGTGACCCAGCCTGGTTTCCAGCTATCGGACAGCTGCCCTCTTATTCCTTTCTCCTCTTCTCTAGGTCCCCTAGCGGGTCCAGATATGGGATGATTTGCTTGGGGTTGGTCCTGCTTTGGGCAGGGGGCTGGACTCAATGACCTCCTGAGATCTCTTCCAGCTCTAGGAATCCATGATTCTATGTAGCCCATTGGCTCATGTCTGCTCTGTTAATCAATCTTAGAAACAACGACTAGCTAAGAGACGAATCCTTTCCCAGATATTAACCTGCCAACGGGGAGACTTTGGGTGTCTCTCAAGGAGTAGCTAAGGGAGACATAATCCACAGCAGCAGGACCCAGGGGGAGGGCAATGTTAGAGTCCCCATCCTAATCAACCGTTCTTCTGCTTCCACTCCTAGGCGAGAAACTGACAGAAAGCGAGGTGGAGCAATTGATGACAGGACAGGAAGATGCCAACGGCTGCATCAACTATGAAGGTAAGAGGAGACGATTCCTTTTGGGGCTCCCTCAGCCATTTCAGTCTGCTCTGAGATGCTAAATGCACCCCCCTGACCGCATGGCAATGGGGGGCCAGTGAGTGAGGAAAACCCATCTGACACCTGTCCCTCAGGAGAACGCACCCGCGATTGCCAAGCAAAAGTTCCCAGGATGCAACGTGCCTTGTGCAAAGGCAGGGGAGTGAGGGCAGTTCTAGGACCGACTCCCACCGTGGTTTGTTGTGTGGGCCAGTGGCACAGGGGTGCAGGGCCTGTGAGTTCAATAGCTCCCTGTTGCTATGGTATGAACTCAAGATCTGCCAGGCTTCCCAATCAAAACGCCCCAAGGTTCGCTGTGTGCCATTTCAGTAGCAGCCAAAGGGACCCTCTGGAATGCTCCTCTAGACCGGCCCCAGCAAAAGCCCTTTAGTGTCACTACAGTTTCATCTACATTTGGGCAGTCTAGACAGGTGGTAACAAAGAACCACACCTCTAACTGGCATCACTATATGGGGAAATGTTTCTAGTATTGACCTGGACTCAAGGCCACCTTTTGCCCTGCTATCTCCAGCCATGACGGGACCATCTGGAGGAGAGGGAAACTGAGGCAGGGATGCTGCAGAGCCAACCTGTACCACAAGGGGGTGCTTGAAGGTGGCCACCCTCTTACACTCCCTGTGGAGCTTGATTGTTCAAGACCAAGTCCCTCAGAGGACTGAGTTGCGCTCCATTAAATGGAAGGTGATTGGCATTAAACGGTGCAGCTGATCTCTAAGACTGGAATTTTCAAAAGACAAGGGCAAGGTTTTCAAAAGTGTGTTTCATGCTGGCCGCTGAGGTTTTTTTGAGACTCTAGCCAGAAGTGGCACAAAGAACCTCTAGGAACTGAGCATTTTTAGCAGCTCTCCTGGGGGATGCTGAGTGTTTGGAAATCTAACCCTGAACTCTATAGGATGTTTGTCCCCATCTCTGGTTAATGACTGGAATTACTAAAAAAGGGCTGGGAACAGATGTGATGAGCTGTTTGTGCCAAAGGGCAAGAACTCGCATTTGGTTTTGGGCAGATTTTTGTAATACCTTTCTTGTTCTTTTCTGCTCAGCTTTTGTCAAGCACATCATGTCGGGCTGAAACAGGAATCTCTAGGGTGAGTGTGTCTTGATCTTTCATTGTTTGCCCTAAAAACATTTGAAGCAACCCACTCTCGTGGCCTTGCATCATCAACGCACACAACATTCAGGGCAATGAGCTACATTTAAAATGGTGTTATTTTAAAAAAGATTTCTAGTGGCTGAGCTTTGTGTGATTGTCCATACTGATTTAGAAACAGCAGAAATATTCAATCAATGTTTCTGCTCTGTATTTGAAAATAAGCAGCATGATGTGTTCATGTGTTATAGAGATAATGAAATACTTTCTGTCCCATCAGTAACTGGAGAAGGGGGAGTTTTTTCAAAGCTGCAGGACTTGATACCCAACAGTATTAAAAGAATTAACCAAACACAACTCTGAGCTATTATTGTTGAGTTTTAACATATCTTGCCTTATTGAGGAAGTTCTAGAGGACTGGGGGAAAACTAATGTTGTTGTCCCAGAATTTAAAAATGATCAACAGAATCACTGTAGGCCAACTAAGAGTTGGTTGATTATGGTCTCCATGACTGTTTCTTACAGTAGATAGCTCTTTAATCTAGTACTAAAAGGTACACTGAAATGCAGTGGTTGGAAACTAAAGCTAGACAAATTTAGATTAGAAATAACGCACAGATTTTTAACTATAGGAACAATTATTAATTATTAACAATTATTTAAGTATTAACTACAGAAACAAACTCCTAGGGATATCATGGATTCTCTATCACCTGAAATCTTGAAGTCAAGACTAGCTCTCTTTCCAAAAATATGGCCATGTCTCCACTTACTGTAGGATCGATGATCTGATGATCGATCTTCTGGAGTTTGATTTAATGGGTCTAGTGAAGACCCACTGAATCAAACACTGAGGGTGTCCCCATCTACCATGGTACTCCTCACCATTGCAAGGAGTAAGAGAAGTTGACCAAAGTTTGTCCCATTGACCTCCTGCTGTGGGGCCTCCCCAGAAAATCGATGTAAAGTACGTTGACTCCAGCTACACAATTTATATACGCACCACTGTAGACCTGGCCTGTGTTGTAGCTCAAACAGCTCTTATGGGCTAGATGCAGAGATTACTGTGTGAGGCTCTTTGGCCTGTTTTGCAGGAGGCTGAGTGAGATTATTCTAGTGACCCTTTGGGTCTTAAAATCTATGACTGCAGGGATGCTGACATGTTTAAAAAGTTGTTAATTTACAAAAAAAGCATGTGTATTACTAAAAATCTCTTATTAAAGCTGAAACCATGCCTAAATCACTGTTTATATAGTTTGTTTTGCATTTCACTCATTTTGCACAAAGAAACCAGACTAGTAAGTTTTACTTTCCAGAGGGAGACATTATCAACTTAAAATCTAGACAAATAAAAAAAATGGAAAGTAATGAGAGATGTTATTGCTGCCCCTGACTCCCCCTACTGATTTTTGTGATTTAATTAGCTCAGTGTCATGTGTTTGTAAACATTTCCTCTCCTACTGCTTTGTGAAAGACCCCTACAAACAAAGGGGAGAAAGTGACTGTACAAACAATGAAATAAACAAAGGCTAAAGAAATAGAAGCACTTCTTCCCCCTCCAAGCTCTTTCAGTTTTAGATGTTACTGGAAACAACAGAAAGATTTTTTTTTTTAAAAAGCTTGCTGACAGAAATCTGATTTCTCGGTAAACTATGTCCCTGCTATTATCAATTTCTAACAATTTTCTCTTGCATTCGCATGCTGCAATGTTCAGGTGGGCAAATCTTGCTGCAGGGGGACATTTAATTCCAAACACAACTGTTTGAATGGAATATTATCTGTAATGCCATGAAAGCCTTGCTATTAATATTTTGGCTCCATCTGAGAGCGAGTTCTGCTATTTCAGACTTATTATGATCATCCTTGTCATGACATTAAAATGTTATGTGTTTTGCCTTCCAGGTTTTCTGAAATGTTTCCATCCCAGTAAGCCTTACCAACAGCAAGAATGCTTGACCCATGTCCCTTCCTGCCTAAAATGTCCTGAGTCTGCAGATGTATCTCTTGTGAACCACAACAGAGTCCTCATAGCCGCAATCTACCAGCCCTACACTATCGTGTGCAATCACCTCTGTATATAAAAGGACACGTCTGCCCTTCCATTTTTAATCTTAATTTATTCTTTTGATTTTTTTCCCTCATTGCGGCATTTGACCCATTAAATTTCGCACACACCCCCCAAATGTTATGTCTTTGGCTTTGGTCCTTTTTAAAGCTAGATCAAATACCATCCTCGCTCACTAAAGGAAAACTCAGGGGTGGGGTAAGGCTGATCATGATCAGCTTGCACGATGTCAACTGGGTGGTTTCACAAGGAAGCAGGATGGAAACGGAGTGAGTACCAGAAAGGAGAAGAGCCAGCTTTGGGAAGCCGTGAAAACTATATGAGAAGCAGGAGATGGGATCTGTAGGGCTGGGAGCGTCTGTGGCCTGGCCCCCAAACTGAATGTGGGGCTGTGAGCTCTGCTCTTCTCTGAGCACAAGTGAAGGATAGTCTATATGTAGTTTTTTTTAGACAAGGACGGGCACAGGGACCCAGAGGAGACGCTACAGTCTGGGAGGTTGAACTCCGTTCTCTCTCCTCTGAAAAAGGTAGCTCATGAGTGAACTGTGCCAGGGGGGAAAAGTCGTGCAGCTGCTGCCCTTGCTCTGTGGATTTAGGAGGTCAGCCTCCGGGGCTGTCAAGCTGCCACCTTTCATTGCAGCCAAAATTAAAAGAACGTTTACTGGGCCAAATCCTGCTTTTGGTCACAGTGGGGCAAATTGGAGTCACTCCCCAGAAGGGAAAACAACAACAAATGGTCTGGTAGCACTTTAAAGACTAGCAAAACATGTCGACGGTATCGTGAGCTTTCGTGGGCACCGCCTGCTTCTTCAAATGAAGCTCATGATACCATCGACATGTTTTGCTAGTCTTTAAAGTGCTACCAGACCATTTGTTATTTTTTGAAGTTTACCCTGTACCGACAAACTCGGCTACTTCCTGAATCTCCTGAAGCGGTTACTCTGGATTTACCTCAGTGTGTAAGAACAAAATGTGGTTCGTAGCATTTGTTTCCAGCAGTCATGGTTCTTGGGACATGAGCACTTGGTGACCCCCAATGATAATTCAAGCTAGGAAGGCAAATCAGGCAACTGGAGTTGCAAATGAAGCCCAGGATTTAAATATCCCAGGCTTTATTTGCATGTTCCCGTCCGGTCACCATTTTTAAATCCCGTTACACCTCATTCCACGAGGAGTAACAGTTAATCTGAACTAAGGACTTAGTTTGGATTAACTTTAAACTGCCACATGTAGCAGCGAGCAGTTCGTTCGGACTAAGGGGGATTTAAAAATGGCGGCCGGACAGGAACATGCAAATAAAGCCCGGGATATTTAAATCCCAGGCTTCATTTGCAACTCCAGTTGCCTGATTTGCCTTCCTAGCTTGAATTATTGAGCTAATGTAGACATACCCTAAGGGAGTCCCACGGGTCAGAGTTCAGAGGTAGCTTGAATGTCTATGCCATCTAGGGAGGGGGCGGGGGGAGAGTGGAGGAATATCCCATCTTGGAGTCAGGGGAGTACAGGAGTGGATGGCGGGATCTTGTTTCAGAGCTGTGGGTAATAGGAAAGGTATCCTGAAAGGAGGTCAGAGAAGGGTCCCCTCTACAGCTACTGCACAGGATTCCTGTAAATGTGCTTTGACTCAGAAAATGTCTCTGAAATAGTGACATTGTGGCGCTGTCCATACTAGGAAAATGGGTACATTTACAAATAGGGCCAGTTGTACTTTCATCTTGACGTAGCTCACCCAGCTAACATGTTAAAACTACATTTGTCCTGTCTACACATGGATTTTAAAGTGTGGTCATGCTCATACCTTTTTTCCTACTGTAGACAGGGCCACAATGTTGGCATCTGAGAGTCTTTCCAGACTGATTCATGCAGAGCGTTCCATATTGGCGTGGCTCCATTTGCGAGTCAAAGGGCTGTATTCTACATGGCAGCTGGGATCTGAAATGCCAAGGCATGGAGACAGAGTGCCCCGTGTGCTAGAATGGTCCCTCCACAATGATCTAGTGGTGTAGCAGAGTAAAAGGAAACTGTTTGGTCATAAGAAAATTGTATTTTTAGAATAGCATATTGCAAAACATGGACTGCAACCCAAGACATCAAGGCTACGTCTAGACTGGCATGATTTTCCACAAATGCTTTTAACAGAAAAGTTTTCAGTTAAAAGCATTTGTGGAAAAGAGCGTCTAGATTGGCACAGATGCTTTTCCGCAAAAGCACTTTTTTCAGAAAAGCATCCGTGCCAATCTAGACGCACTTTTGCGCAAAAAAGCCCCGATGGCCATTTTCGCGATCTGGGCTTTTTTGCGCAAAACAAATCTGAGCTGTCTACACTGGCCCTTTTGCGCAAAAGGACTTTTGCCCGAACAGGAGCAGCATAGTATTTTCGCAAGAAGCACTGATTTCAGACAGTAGGAAGTCAGTGTTCTTGTGGAAATTCAAGTGGCCAGTGTAGATAGCTGGCAAGTTTTTCCGCAAAAGCAGCTGTTTTTGCGGAAAAACTTGCCAGTCTAGACGCAGCCCAAATGTGTTATACTCTGGATCAATAACTGTCTCGGGGTAAGGTCTGAAAGAACACAAATGGATTGAATACAATCATTTTATTTTGGAGCTTCAGGGGGTAGCTGAGTTAGTCTGTTACAGAAAAAAACAACAAATAGTCTGGTAGCACTTTATAGACTAACAAACATGTAGATGGTATCATGAGCTTTCGTGGGCACAGCCCACTTCTTCAGATGTCACAGGCCAGCTCCTCAAGCCAAATACACAGGGAAAGTTTGTAATTACAATACATATGCAAATTCAATTCAATTACTAATGGACTTAATCAAGATATGGGATGGAGGACCCTTTATCACTGAAGGTGCTAACAGCTTTCTGAATGATATCCTTCCTACCTCCCCAATCTATCCACTGACTTTGATCTTTATCTACTCAGGTTTAGCATCCTTTCTCCTGATACTTTATGTATAAAAGAGGTAGATGGGTGGGTTACAGCGCATCTTTCTCTCCCCCAACCCCCTTCCCTTCTCCTATTTATTTTGAGTTTTCTTATCCCGTAGTCATAACTCCGGTCATCTGAAGAAGTGGGCTGTACCCAAGAAAGCTCATGATACCATCTACATGTTTTGTTAGTCTATAAAGTGCTACCAGACCATTTGCTTGCTAGTTTATTTTGGAATATTGAATACTGTATACGGATTGGAATACATTTCGCAGAGTTGAAAGGAAAGGGTTTCAGTATAAAAGGACATTTCCCAGTCCAAAGCAAGAAGGAAAATATTTTACAAAATATAAAGGGCTGGGAGTGTTTGAAAGAAGCAATGACAAATATCTTCAATCTAAAGTGCATATAAAGATACTACTTCATCGAGCTTGATAAGCTCTCAAAAAGAAAACGGGTGCAAAAATGACTCATTGAAGATTAAAAACAACAACATAGTGAGAAATGTTAATATGCTTTTTCTATATAGCTTTGAAAGTTCAAAAAAGACATCTCCACATCTGTATCCTCAAAAATGAGCCGTGGATATCCGCACTGACATCCACAGACATGGATACCGGTGGATATAAAGTGGATATCCTCAGATTTGAAGGGCTTTAGATAAAATATTTGTATCCGCATTCATATCTGCAAAAATGAGCTCAAGATATCCGCATCCACATCCGCAGATGTGGACACCCGTGGTTATAAAACAGATATCTGTAGATTTGCAGGGCTCTATGAATTAGTACTATCCTCAGATGTTCTCACAGCCTTCGCCTTCATCATCTCACATAAATTTGTGGGCAGGCTGCTCACAGTGATAGAAGTGGTTGGGAAAGAATCTCACTCATGCTCTGTTTAAAGCTAGATGTGGCTCCGTACCCTGTTTGAGGTGGTACAAATAGGAGCCCATTCACATAACAGCTGTCAGCTCAGCTGGCAAGAGCCTACTTTCCGAAGCCTAGGGACTTTCCACTCCCCAAACCATCACACCCTGTATTCAGGCAGGCTGGGGTTCAGCCCAGAGAAGGAAGAATTCAGCCTTCACCCACTGGAGCAGAGGATGTGGAATGAGGGCTGTGATCAGGTGTACATACCCTAGTTCAATCTAGCTTTGCCAAGTACGAGCAGAGTGACATAAACAAGACTGATTAGGGTCAATGCTGCTATTTAGGACATGTGGCAGCAGTGAAATTGTCAAGAATCATTCAGTTTCACTCTGCAGATGAAAAGCGTTAACTCCTTGGCAAGGCACTGACAGCAGGGAACTGGATTAGGATCCTGGCCTTTTACAGAGCAGCTAATATAGCAACCACATGGCAAACCCCCTTTTCCCTGTCCCTGTGCCCTGCCCAGCAGGGAGGAAAATCTCTTCTCTCCCCATTCTCTCCCCGTATTTAACCAGCCATCTTCAGGAATCACAGTTTTCTGCCGTTGCTGTTGAATGGGCTGAGAGTAATTTCACTGCCACCTGCAAGAAACAAAAATTAAGATGAATGACCTGTCAGCTCAAATTGAAAGAAGCAGCTTCAATTTAAAAGCAGGCGCTCACTGTGAACTGATGCAAACCAGCAAAATGGAGAGGCTGCCTGGTAATGTTCAGACTGGCCATTGGCTATCACAGGGGACATTTACACTCATGGAACCATAGAGCTGGAAGAGACCTCAGGGGGTCATCAAGTCCAGCCCCCTGCCCAAGGCAGGACACTGTTCCTGGAATGGGCAGAAAGTGGGCAGCTGAGTGGGTGAGAGCTACATATCTGGATTGGTTGGAGGATTCCCAAGGGGAAGCTAAGGATGTCTGGGTGCGTTGTAGGTGCTGAGATAGCTGGGGGTTTGGACAATGTTCCTCCAGCTCTGGGACAGAACCCAACCAGGACTGTTTCCCGTAGGCGACAGACATTCAACATCATTCCCGTTTATCAGCCTATCTGAAATAAGTTGGTGGCTACCTAACTACCTGTCCATATGCCGAGCATCACCATCATAGAGATGATGAATACAGCCGGTCCCCAAGTTACGAACGGGTTACGGACCAAACACTTGGCCGTAACTCGAAATGTTCATAAGTTGGACCCCGTTGAGTTACATTGCGACTGCGCTGTTCATAAGCGGGGGTCGCGTTCGGAACATGGGGACTG